GACAGACACACAGACACAGAGAGACACAGACACAGAGACACACACACACACACACAGAGACACACACAGAGACAGAGACACAGACACACAGACACAGAGAGACACAGACACTGAGAGACACACACACAGAGACACACACACACACACACACACACACACACACACAGAGACACACACAGAGACAGAGACACAGACACACAGACACAGAGAGACACAGACACTGAGAGACACACACACAGAGACACACACACACAGAGACACACACACACACACAGAGAGAGAGAAAACCAGGTGCTCACGTCATCCGATGCACTCTTTTCTTTTCAATGTACCGTCTGTTTCTCTAAAATGCATAATTCACCTAAAAAATGTTCATTCTGTCACCATTTACTGAGCTGTATTATTTACTTCAGTGGAGCAGAAAAGGAGATGTTTAGCTGAATGTTCACACTGCTGTCTGAATGAAAGGGAATGTCAAGCTCTGAAAAAAAAAAAATATATATATATATATAAAATATAAAAATCATAAGAATATAAACATCAAAAACAAAAAATGATAATAAAATGTAATAAATGTATCATAAAAACATAAAATCTGAAAATTAAAAATATAAATAAAACCATAAAAATATCAAATATATCTAAATATATAAAAGCATCATAAAATATAAATATATATATCAGAAGTATCAAAATGTATAATGTAAAATTAAAAGTATAGTGAAATAGTATGGAAAGTACTATAAAAATAATACTTTTCTAGAAAAATATCACAAGTACCGTAAATATCTAAAAATCTAATTAAAATAAGATGAAATCATGAATGTATCATAGAAAGCATCATATCAAAATAGAAATTATAAACATCATAAATTCATGATCATAATCATAGACCATAAATCTATTCCAAGAGGAGGGGAAGATGATCAGAGAATGTTTTTTTGGACTATGGGCTTGATACTGTTACAGTATAAATCAGAATGTGAAAGAGCAGCTTGAACATCCTTCTGAACGTCTCCTAAACGCGTCTCTGAGTGAGTGAGTGATGACAGAACGCTCGTCTCCGCTGAACTATTGCCGTGATGATTGTCTTTGTGTTTCTGGAGCTCTCGCTGGCTTCATCTGAATCTGAGATGATGGAGCCTCGTTCCAGAGCGTCTGGAAAACATCAGGAGAGCTTTGTTATGAGAGCCAGTGCGATGGCAGCTCAAATCAGCTGCATATTGACTCTTTTATTTCTGGAGTCTGATTTCTTCTTGGATGGTGTTAATTTGGCTTGGAAGCGGGACGAGAGAATCTGCGGCGTGTGACAGTGTATGTGAGTTGGCCGAGCTCCGATAAACCAACAGAGGAACGTCTGTGAGTGCATAAAAACGGCTTGAGCGACTCTTCTGGGTGGGCCGCGAATCTGGGGATAAAATCAGCGTAGGATCTGCAGAGGGAAAGTGTTGTGTGTTCATGCAAACGTGATCTACACGACCACACCTGACGGTTTCAGCGCTCGTTAATACTTCAGATCAGATTCACGGTTTACTCAGCGTGCATGGCTTTATTTCAGACAACCAGCTAACAGAGAATGTTCTTTAAAAGATTTATATAAATGTTAGGACATAACGTTCTTAAAGTAATGATTATGGAATGTTCTTGTAACCTTATTAATATTTGATATGCGTTCTCATAACAGTTTTCTTATATGTACTTGTTCTAAGAAAGGTTTTTGCTACATTTAAATAACGTTCTAATCGTGATATGACAATTTTAATGTTTTAGAAACGTAAAATCAATGCTTTTTATAACCTAAATTTGTTACCTGGGTAGTCGTCAGTTTATATTGCTATTCGACTGAGTGAATACTAGGGAACAAAACTGGTTTAATTTCCCCACAGCTCTGATCTAAACTGTGTTTCATCTCCACTCACTTATCAACATCGTTGTCCTGCATTCCAGCTGTTTTTATGTGGATGATTCACATCTTAAAATACTCAATTGAGTTGGTTTTGAGTATGGGGGCGGAGCTATAAGGAGGTCTGACCAATGGCAGACAGGGGGCGTGTTCATGGACTCGGTTTGAAAACAAACATTGTGTTTGGTGCCTCCAGTGATGCAGAACCACACTGAAACTACAGCAGTGAACGTCTCTCTCTCCTTCTCTCCGTCGTTCTGCACATCCAGTGACAGAATGCGAAGAAGTCACAGCTGGAGGAGCGGAAAGCACCTGGAATCGAAACGCTCTCGTCTCACTGCACACAGACTAAACACAGACACATTCAAACACTCACACTGGATCCTCAGCTGGAGTGCCATTATAGTGTTAAACTATTACTATCTGATCAAAGCTCCGGCACTGAGTGTTCAAGTTCAGAGTCATTGTCATCAGTTATACTTTATCCAGTGGTGCATAATAAATTAATTACCGATAAGCTATATTGTCAATATCGACAGTTTTTGCTCTTTTCCATCAACAAAAACAGTTCCAAACCGCAGAACCACAATGTTTCAACATTTCTGAACGAATCGAGTGAGTTAGTGATTCAATGACTCATGAATATAGACAGTAGTGGCTTACTTTTTTGCCAGAATGATTCAACATTTTGAACAAATCGAGTGAATTAATGACTCCGTGAACTATTCATTAAGACGGTCACTTGCTTCTGAATGATTCAACGTTTCTGAACAAATCGAGTGAGTTAAAGATTCAGTGACTCATGCATAAAGACATTAGTGACTTGCTTCGTTCCTAAATGATTCAGCCTTTTAAAATAATTCAGGTGAGTTGACAATTCAACGACTCCAGAACCTTGCTTCGATCCAGAATAAATCAGGCATTTTGAATGAATCATGAATCAGTGACTCACTCATTAAGACAGCGACTTGTCGCCACCTACTGGTGGCTTTAGTTTTATATTTAAAGTAGGCCTATAATTAAATTCCATATTTGTACAATATATATATATATTAAATATTTAAAGCATTAATTGTGTAACACTATGCAGTTGTAACTGTAGTGTAAACACATTCATGGCATCTCAGTCTGAGCTGTAAATACAGCTAATGCCACTTTTGATTTCATTTGATTGTTAACAGCCCTATAATGTCTCATTTACTGAATAAATACATGTATTTACATTTCAAGCTGTTAAAGCCCATATGAAGGGTAAAAACGCCCTGGAAATCTATTGAACTCAAATTTCCTTAATGGAAAGTTGATTTCTGTCCCAGTATTATTTTTCAGTTTTTATCCCGTCCTTCTTTCTGGTGTTATTATAGACACAAACAGCCCGATCTTCCCAGAAACTCTCACATTCCCACCTGCGCCGCCAGTTTACAAGAAACCGCAGCGAGATTCCAGCGTCTCTTCCTCACTGTAAAGAGCAGCGCTGAACGTTCCTGCAGATTTACGGCAACATCTGTACCATAAAGAACATCTGTTTTAAATCGCCTAAAGGGTGGATGAAGATTTTCAGTGCAATAAGAAAGCATAGACAGAATCAGATCCTGCATGTTCAGAACTCGGCAGAGAGATGCTCTGCAGATCGGTTAATGAGAGCGAAACGACTCTGCCGGTCATCGATTATCTCAACATCTGCACCCACGCTGCAACATCTGGCAACAATGAGGACCAATCGGCTCTGAAATTCGCCGTGTCTGGCAGCGAGATAAGACACAGGCATGTGAAATCCATTTGCTCTGCTTAGTCACAGAGTGGGAGGTAAACTAAACTGGGCCTTCGATCTGATCCGAGGTCAGCCGCTCCAGCGCCGGGTCACGTTCAGATGCTCCTCGGCCGACGCAGGATCAGGGAAAATCCGCCAGTGGTCTGAGGAATAGTTGATTTCCGGTCTAGTTTCACTGGAGCCAAAATCTAAGTGGGGGAATTATTTGGGAATTCCAGTCATTCTCGCGTTTTTTGCCAGGAAACTCTTTGTCGGCTGCGGTTGAAACGAAATGCTTTGATCAACACGCTGCTTTCGTGTTTAACGGCTTTAAATACCTGCTGCATGAAAATACACGGGAATGTGCAGCTAAATGGAGTTTAATTCCTCCGTGTGTTCTTATAGTGATGAACGGTCCATCAGTGCAGGGTTACTATAGTTAACTAAAACTGAAACTAAAATAAAACCGTTTTTACTTTAACATTAACTTTAATATAAAAAGAATTTCAACTAGTTGCCAAGGCAACATTTTTCATTTTAATTTAGCTTAACTTAAATAAACACTCAAATAAATCAAATTAAGTAAAATTGAAATGCAAATTATAAAAAATTATATATAGATCTAAAAAAAAAAAAAAAAATACTAAAAATTACAAAACAAACAAAATTACTAAAACGGTTGATTAAAATGAAAATATAAAAACTGATTCTACATATAAATAGAAACTATAATAGTATTTCATTAATACTAAAAAAAGCACTAAATGAAATAAAATGTGATATAAAGAATCTTGTCAACATCTAATCATTTATCTAATTAATTTACGCAATTCATCATGGATAAAATCAAGCCCCAGTCTGCATTTTGCATGCATGCATTTAGCAGACGCTTTTATCTAATGCAACTTTCACTGCATTCAAGGTATAATCAATTTAATCGACTGTATTTCCTGGGAATCGAACCCATGACCTTGTTTGAGCTAGCCAAACATCCGTTTTACTCAGAAATACGTTTACAGGTTGCAAAAGCGGTTTCATGTTGACTTTAAAACTTGTCTTGTCAGTTTCAATGGGAGATTTTGATGCGACTTCTCAGCTGATGAAAAAACATCTTGCTTGTTTTTTTTTCAGCTTTTGTCTTCTCCAGATGTGAACTGATGGACTGGAGTACTGTGGATTATTGTGACGTTTCTATCAGCTCTCGTTCTGACGGCACCCATTCACTGCAGGGCATCCATTGCTGAGACACTGATGCAATGCTACATTTCTCCAAACCTGATCCCATGAAGAATAAAAGCACATCGGCACAATCAAAAAAGATGACGCAAGCGTTCACAAGTGTAGCAGCTCACGGGAATGTTTATTGTGTACTAGTTTGTGCAAATGGTGCTTTATTCAAAGCAAAAGCCAAAGCGGAATAAACATCATAAACAGATCCGGATCAAACTAGAGTCCACAGTTAAACTAGTCCTCGATCTGTCGCATATATCGCAGGAAAAGAGAAAAATAAGGGTCATATTTACACTATTAATTTACAAAATATAATTTGGTATAAAATGCATATAATCTGTTTTTCTGTACAAACGTGTCATTTACATTCAGTCGCAGCTCTTGTCTTGAGGTAGAGCGTTTCTGGTTTTTGGTCGTCGTCGTGTCGAAGGCGCTAAGAGCCCAGCGGTGACGTGGGAACGCTCTCTATCGTCCGGTGATCAAGCGGCTGCTGGTAAACGCTCGCGTGCTCCTCGTCCAGGTCTGAGTCGGCGTGAAGCGCTGCGTACGGATTCTCCTGAAGAATGACGGCGTTATGAGCGCAGAGCTCCTGCTGCGGCCGCCACGCCGCTTTCCCAAACGTACCTGAGACCACAGGCACACGCCGTCATATAATAAATTAATATAGTTTTTAAAATGTTATAAATTAATATAAATAAATAAAAATAATAATAAAAAATAAAAATTAATTTCGTACAATGACAATAAAAGGCATTCTATTCTATTCTAATACCGTTGTAACTATTATTACAAATTTTTTAATTTATTATGATTAAAAATGCATTTGAACATTGTCTTGTTGCCAGTGTCTGTGCTGTTGTCAGTATCAGTGTTATTTTAGTATAATTAAGATACTATAACTTTGCACTAATATTAATATTAGTTTTTATTTTTATATTTTAATTTTATTAAAAATTTTAGTTACTTAGTTGTGTTTTTTTTTTTTTAGTCTTTTTTTCTATATAGTTTTTATTTATTTTTATTTTAGCTTTAGTTTTATTTATTTTAATAAAACAAGTTATAACAACAACAAAAAAAAGAGAGAAATGTTGCCTTGGCAACTAGATGAAAACATTGCATTAATATTTTCAATAATTTTTTTTTTTTCATTTTAGTAGTTAGTTGTGTTTTTGTTTTTATTAATTTAATTATTTTAGTTTTATTTATTTTAGTAAAACAAGCCACAACTAAAAAATATTTACATGGCGACTAGACGAACATTTTTTAATCATTTAATTTAATTTAAAAATAAATATTGTAAAAATTATAAATATTTTATTTTAAATATCATTTTTCATTACAAAAATATTTGTATGGTTTTGTAGCTTATTGCTGTTAATTTATTTAAAATAAACATTTTTTAAATAAAAAATAACAAAAATTGTATTTAATAAATTTACTAAATAATGTTTATTTGTGACTGTATTGTCATGTGAATGAAAAGCATATTTGTGTTATTTTAAAGCACTTCTCATGATTACGGTTTGTGTTTCCTGTTGTTTGCTGGTTGATAAATGTGAAGTGAACAGAATATATCTGAATATATAACAGAGTAAGTATCTGCTCAGACTCACCCATATATGACCCCGAGGAGCCCAGAACGCACTGTCCGCTCTCACAGTCCTCCACACAGGAAGTGTCCCCCAGCTGCATCATCATGTGATCGAAGGGCTCGAGGGCGGAGCTGCAGGTGTAGAACTCACACTTCCTGCTGCAGGAGGAAGCGGCTCCGACGGACGCACACGCTGCATTAGAGAGGAAGAGGTCAGGATTAATCCTGCGCGAGTGTCCTGTGTGCATCTGTGTCACTCACCGCTGCAGCTGTCGTGCAGATCGGGGCTGTAGCGGTTGCTCCGTCTCAGCAGTGAACCCACAGGCCCCTGATAATGGCACAGCAGGGGGTCGATCGCCGCCTCCATGTCCGCATCACTTCCTGTGTCCAGCTGGCAGAGGCCTATGGGAGGAGAAACGGTATTATAAATACTACGCTAAAAAATCTCTCATATCATATGTGACCCTGGAGCACAAAACCAGTCATAAGGATCGATTTTTTTTAATGTTGAGATGTATGCATCATCTGAAAGCTGAAGAAATAAGCTTTCCATTGATGTATGGTTTGTTAGGATCGGACAATATTTGAAAATCTGGAATCTGAGGGTGCAAAAAAATCTAAATATTGAGAAAATCATCTTTAAAGTTGTCCAAATGAAGTTCTTAGCAATGCATATTACTAATCAAACATTAAGTTTTGATATATTTACGGTAGGAAATTTACTAAATATCTTCATGGAACATGATCTTTACTTAATATCCTAATGATTTTTGGCATAAAAGAAAAATCTATTATTTTGACCCATACAATGTATTGTTGGCTATTGCTACAAATATACCCCAGCGACTTATGACTGCTTTTCTCAAAAAAAATTGACACTTATGACTGGTTTTGTTGTCCAGGGTCACATATGTGTATTTTTTACAGTGCATTTCTGTGTATATAAAGAGAGCAGTGGTCACGTCTCACTGTTGAGGTCTTTGGGTGGCATGTAAAATCCTCCCGTGGAGGAGCTGATGTACTGATGGCTGCTGCCACTCTCAGACGCCATGAATCCGTCCTGACGCTCCGCTAGCGTTCCCTGAGATGACAGATAGCTCGGGATGTCCCGTACCCACTGTATGTGTATTTTTTACAGTGCATTTCTGTGTATATAAAGAGAGCAGTGGTCACGTCTCACTGTTGAGGTCTTTGGGTGGCATGTAAAATCCTCCCGTGGAGGAGCTGATGTACTGATGGCTGCTGCCACTCTCAGACGCCATGAATCCGTCCTGACGCTCCGCTAGCGTTCCCTGAGATGACAGATAGCTCGGGATGTCTGCTGGGAGATTCGTCTCATCTAAACACGAGACAAACAAAAGGGTTAGCGGCGTTAAACATCACAGATGCATTAAAGGTGTCCGCTGTCGGGTCAGGACTGACCTGTTAGGTTAGGTTACTTTATTTGTTTATTGTTTTGCAGTAAAATGACAGTGACAACCATCCTTAACACACAAATTCAAAACACATTTAAGAACATAACACAACAAATAACATGATACATGATACAAGTGCTCAAAAACTCCCCCATCCTACAGCTAATTTAACACAGTTAAAACAAGCTGTTTTTATATTGCTGTCTTACACCTTGAGACTAGAAACTTCTGTCCAGAGGGAAGAAGCTGAATTCACTGTGCAAAGGGTGGGAGTCATCGTTTAAAACAGAAGCAGCCATTCGCTGTAACTGTCTTGTTTACAGCGATGCTGGATCCAACTGTAACTCACCAACCAATCGACTAGACCATTTAACTATCTGGTTTAATGAAGTATGTCCAAAGAAAAGGACAAAACTGATTCAATAAAAGCATGATAAAACATGATCATTAAAGGAACACTCCACTATCTTTGAAAGTAGGCTCATTTTCCAACTCCCCTAGAGTTAAACAGTTGAGTTTTACCGTTTTCGAATCCATTCAGCCGATCTCCGGGTCTGGCGGTAGCGCTATTAGCTGTAGCTTAGCATAGATCATGCGTCCACGATGATCAGCAGCTGGTTCCCGGCAGCGAAGAAGTGTCGCTCCGTCACCTGCAGCGGACTGTCGTCTTTGGTCCAGTTGAGTCGAGGCGGAGGACTTCCGCCCGCGATACACTGCAGCACCGCCGTTTCGCCCTTCACCACCACACGGTCCATCAGCGGACGCAGGAACGACGGCGTCTCTGCGGGAAGACATTTCAGAAAAACAATGCTGAAAAACTGACACAGTCAAATTGAAGAAATAATTAGCAAAAAACGATAAACGGCACAAAAAAAAGCTGATTTCCGTGCATTATTCTCCACATGTATCGCGATCTGAACCCTAAACACGCTTAAAGCCAGTTTTGTCCACTCTGGAGGCATCGCAAGTTCAGGTTTTACTGCAGAAGCCGTCAAGCGGCCTTGTTGTTTTTGAACAGAAGCCGATAAGTCCATTTCAGCGAATCAGCACGCTGTATTCAGGTCAGGTGACAAGGCTACTTTCACTCTGAAAAAACGTGCTAGCTGAGAGGAGTTTCGTCAAAGCTGACAAAGTGATCGAGGATCATTTCGACGAACTTGATGAACCTGTGATATCTTCTTCAGGCGCAAAAGGAAAATAAAAGCTGAAACGTTTTCATGGAAGCTTGCAAAAGCAGCACGTTACACTGGTGAGGAAAAGCTCTGTGCGTTCACATCCATACAGTTTATGATCACAACAACAACAACAACGTTTGTCAGGCATCTACATTGTCATCTGAGGAGATTACAAAAATTAAACAAGTGTTTTATTTAAACTATTAAACATGAAATGTGGAGTTATCTGCTTTTGCTATAAAACAAACTTTCAACATAAAAAAAAAAAACATATTTTCAATGAACTTTAATTTTGTATATTACCTGTATTTGTTTAAGTTATTATTACTTATAACAACACAACTGCAGTTTGATTGATATTACTTGGAATGCGCAATAAAAAAAAAACGTGATTTCAGAAAAAATTAAAATGGAGTAATCAGTTTTTGCAAATGAACTCTTCAATTACACAAACAACGATTTCATCCAGAACCGAAATTCTCACAATACCGTTTCGTTTTCATTTCGATGATGCACGAATAAAGCTGCACTAAACATGATTTGTAGCGCCTCCCATCTAATAATCTCCATAAGCTGTCACTTTTGATACGTACAAGCGATTTTTTAAAATAAAATTCAAACAATAAATGTGGTTTTTAAAGCTCTGTAATGTGGTGTGACATCACTATATAATAATAATTAAAAAAAACATTTTTATACAAATATCAAAATATTTTATGCATGCATTAGAAGACACAGCAGACATATAAGAGGGAAATACAAAAATATATAAAACAAACTTTAAACATTAAATACAGCCAGTGCTAGTAGTAAGTTACTGTGTTTTTACATTTTGATAGATATATAACTATTTTAAATTTTCATTTTATTTTGCATAACCTGTTAGTGATGTATTTATTGTTTAATGTATGTTTGATTATATTTACATGGACATTGTGTAAAGTTTTTCTAATTATTTAAATATATACATTTAAATAATTATATTTCAAAAATGAAAAAGTTGATAGAAAACCTGCCTTTATGCCATTTAAATTTTTATATGCATGAGTTGATTATTAAATAAACTAATATTAAGAGTGTTGATTAAATAAATGTGAATAATTGATTATTAAATTTTTTATTTACAATATATTCTTTTTTTTTGCTTATATATATATATATATATGTGACCCTAGAACACAAAACCAGTCATAAGGTTCAATTTTTCGAAATTTAGATGTATACATCATCTGAAAGCTGAATAAATAATCTTTCCATTGATGTATATATGTGACCCTAGAACACAAGACCAGTCATAAGGTTCAATTTTTCGAAATTTAGATTTATACATCATCTGAAAGCTGAATAATAAGCTCTCCATTGATGTATGGTTTGTTAGGATAGAACAATATTTGAAAATCTGGAATCTGAGGGTGCAAAAAATCAAAATATTGAGGAAAATCATCTTTAAAGTTGTTCAAATGAAGTCCTTAGCAATGCATATTACTAATCAAACATTAAGTTTTGATATATTTACGATAGGAAATTTACAAAATATCTTCATGGAACATGATCTTTACTTAATATCCTAATGATTTTTGGCATAAAAGAGAAATGTATAATTGTGACCCATACAATGTATTGTTGGCTATTGCTACAAATATCCCCCAGCGACTTAACACTGCTTTTGTGCTCCAGGGTCACATATATATACTACAGTTGTCAGCTAAATTAAATCTTTAATTTTGTTTTGGTTTAATGTCACTCTTTCAGAATGATAATTTCTGTCAAACACTTGCATACTCTTACCCAGCACCGTTAGCGTAGCGTTAGCAGAGATGGCGCCGGCGGTGTTTTGCGCAGTGCAGCTGTAAACGCCGATGTCCTCCGTCTTCACGTCCACGATGAAGAACACGTCGTCTCTCGGCATGACGTGCATCCGCCGCTCGCGGGCCGCAGGGAAATCCGTGCCTCCGTCCTTCTGCCAGGCGATCTGAGGAGACGGGTGTCCGCTAGCGGCGCACTCCAGTCGCGCGGTGGCTCCGGCGCGGATCGTCAGGTCCATCGGCATTTTGGTGAAGTACGGCAGCACTGCAGGGAAAACAGATGAGGGATTGTTTTCACAAACTCAAGGAAATACAACTTTGCAATTAACCCCCATTATCCATTTGGGACAGTTTTGGCCTGGAAGGGATACATAAAAATATTTTTTAAAAATGCATCGTTTTTAGTAAGGAATCAAAACTTTGCAAACACGTTAAAAGCCTCAAAATACACATTATTAATTTTTTTCAGATTTTTAAGGTATGTATTTTTTTTTTGTATGTATGTGTTTTTTTCGAGTATGTATGGGGCACCATTAGACAACAAAAATAATTTTTAGTTGAGTTTATAATAGTGTCAAAAACAGTGTATAAATATATTCAGCATTTTCCTCATATCTCACACACTTTTAGAACTGAATTCTGTTGATGAACATGAATATGTCACTTATTGATGAACCATTGCAGAATAAAAAACTGATCACTTTTTCATCTGAAAGTGAAAGTTTATGCAAGAAAATTTTATTTATTTTGACTTTTTAGAGTAATATTTATGTTGTTTTGTTAGAAACTGTTAGGACTGTTTTTTTAGCAATCATGAGATACATTTAAAGGATATATATATATATAATATATAAATATATATATAGCCTGATTTTTTCTGGGTGTAGTTCATGTGATATTTTAAATCTGAATTATTTTTCACATTTCTTAATCAATAAAAATGGGGTGCATGCAGCATCATCCAAAACGCTGATTTTTTTTCACATTTACTCATTAATGAGAAGTTGCTGCTCAGATACAATATGGCTTTAGTTGAAAAATACTCAAAGTTTTGACTATTTGAAAAAAATAGATTTTGAATGCTATATGAGGGATAAATAGTAGGTTATGAAACAGATTCAGGATCATGTAAACAATAAATAGTTCATCTGGATGTACACTGCAAAAAAATATTTTCTTGCTTAGTATTTCAGTCTTGTTTTCTAGTATAAATATCTAAGAATTCTTGAATCAGGATGCATTTACTGGACAAGTAAAACAACTTAAGATATCATTACCCAAATTGTATTAGTTTTTGCTAGATACACTAAAAACGGAGAAGAAGACTTGGACTATGCACATAAACCTTGCGCGCGGTATACAAACGAACATGGAACAATACATGTATTAATCTGTGTTAATGTTAGTTAATAAACAGACAATCGTTCAGTGTTTGTTCATGTTTTTGTTGCTGTTACGTGGCGGATATTTTTGCTTGTTTTAAGCAAAAACTAATACAATTTGGGTAATTTTTTCAGAAAACAAGACATGATATCTTGTCGTTTTACTTGTCCAGTAAATGCATCCTGATTCAAGAATTCTTAGATATTTATACTAGAAAACAAGACTGAAATACTAAGCAAGAAAATCTTTTTTTTGCAGTGTACATGAAAATATAATTAGAGGTACAATTAGCATCAAGCTACATTTCAAAATGTATGTAAATAATGTTTTTGTGATTCTATAACAGGCAGACACGCACTCTTTGTATGTTATAGTAATATAATATCGCCACTGCGTCGACCTTTTGGGTAACAGCAGTTGCTCTGGCCACGTCATGTAATGCTCAAATCTTATTGGACGGCCCGTGTTTGCACTTTGCGAAACTGAAAAGATTCGTCGGACTGGTTCAAATTTTTTTTTTTAAATTCACATTTTCGGTGCGCAAATGTTCGTGGTCTATGTGGAAGCATCTATAGGAACCTGTTGTTTTATTCCAGCACATCATTGCGTCTGATATTCGTTTTGCTTTTTTGCACTCAGTGTGGAAAGGCCTTTATGTGCAAGAGCAGAGATTCAAGAATGCGAAAATTGAGCGCAATGACGCTTTTGAATCGAAACAATAGATCCCTATGGAGCTATTCACACCAGGCGTGAGGAATTTTTTTTTTTCGCCCTGTGTGTCCATTTTCCCCCATGTAGCTTGATGCTAATTGTACCTCTAATAATATTTTAGGATGTATTCTTGTAAGCATTATAGATAGTTTGTGTTTCTTAGGGCTGGGACAATAAATCGATGCATCGCGAATCGAGAAATGATTCTGCATCGATTCTGAGATTTTCCGAAGGCATCGCGATTCTCTCTTGAATCGATTCTGAGCTTAGTTTTTAACAGCAGATGGCACGGCGTGCTTTAGAAATAGCTGTATTCTGTTTGCTTCCAGTTCCTTACGCACCATTTGAACCTAAAATAATCATTCATAAAGTTCGAAAAGGTTGAAGCGAATTACAAGGATGTTCACAGTGGGCTGTGTTTACGTTAATCTCGCTTCATAAAAGCCGATGTGCAAACGTAATTAACCACTTACACTACTCTTCTTCGTGAGCATTTGAGTGTGCAGTTAAAAACTAGCCTAGAGCGCCATCTGCTGTTAAAAAATAAGCTCAGAATCGTTTCGAAAGAGAATCACGAAGCATTCCGAAGATTCGATCTCAGAATCAACCCACGAATCGCGATGCATCGATTTATGGTCCCAAAAAATGCATTGCTGGTTGGCGCCACCTAGCGTGCAGGTGTGAATTAGCAGGCGGCGATCAATCATTTCGCGCTCGGTGTGAAACGGCCTTCATACGTACAGCTCTGAGAGTTTCTTCATCTGAGAGAAAGCGTTGGCTTGAACCGACATGATGGCGTTGTTGCTCAAGTCCCTGCGATGTGAGGAGAGAACAGACGTTTAGGAACCTAATAAACACACATCACCATCAAACGCTTCAGATCTGAGAGAGTCTCACAGCTGCTCCAGCAAGTCCAGGCCTGTGAAGGACTTCCTGGTGACCGATCGGATACGATTGCCTTGGAGGAACCTTGAGGAGCAGAAAAACAAATGGTTTCAGGAGAGTGTTTCCTTCAATGCAATGCAATGATACTAAACCTATTTAGAGCATGTGAATCAATTACTAGGCGTGTCAAGCAAAATATGATGCGTTGAATAATTAGTAGTGCTGGGCAATCATTAATCGCCATTAATCGCATCCAAAAAAAAAAGTTGTGCGTGTGTGTATTGTGTATATTTATTATGTATATATAAATACACACACATGCATGTATACATTTAAGAAAAATGTTATGTTTATATATTTAATATAATTATATGAATATAAATATATACATGTAAATACATATAAATATTTTCAAAATATATACTGCATGCGTGTCTTTATATATACATAATAAATATACACAGTACACACACATATATTATGTAAACAAAATTTTATTTTGGATGCGATTAATCGTTGCCCAGCACTAGTGAAATTAATCGCACATCAATTACCCAAAAGATTTGTTATTGTGTTAGATAAGAAAAGCATTGATTAGACATTAAAATGTGAAAATCATGTGTGATTTTTTTAACAAATTTAATTAAAAAAATTTTTTTTTTTAATGAAATGATGCTCTCAATGTGAAACTAAAAGTGCACTGAGTGAGTCATTGAATCATTCATACAACCGATTCATTCAAATGGCTAATTAATTCAGAAATGAAACAAGTGAGTGAGTCATTGAATCATTAATTGAACCGATTTGCTCAAATGGATGATTCATTCAGAAACGAAGCAAGTGACTTTCTTAATGAACAAGTCACTGCATCATTGACTCACTTGATTCGTTCAAAACCGCGGATTCATTCAGTAATGAATCACCGCTGTGTGCTGCTAGGAGACGCTGAACAGTTCAGTGAAGCAAAATTGAGCAAAATAGACAACATTACATCTAAAATGTAACACAAAGTTAACTTCTTGTTCATTGGACTGTTATATAAATCAATATCACATTTGCAATGGTGCAGATATTGGGGAAAAACAGCACTCTAGTTGGTGTGATATTACTAAACCATATCATATTATATAAATATAAGAAGGTAATTTTTTGCACTCATATCTTGAATTTTAAGCTCGTATAACTACATTCACGCAGTCAGTCGTCATCCTGCATCGTGTAAGATGACAAACAGGTCTGTACGTCAAATGTGTTAAACGGACGGTTCTAAAAAAATAAGATAATATCGTAAACAGTGAAAAAAGCAAATAAGATCACTCACAGTTTCCTCAGATTGTCGAGAGCAGAGAAAGGGCCGTTCATGTCCTCGATGGTCCATGAGATTTCATTATACTTCAGATCTCTGGAGAAGGCGAGAAATCAGAGAAACCACACTGTTAAAATTCACAACCAGAAAGCACGAATCGTAAAGCTGATGCGACAGAATGTTACGCTGAAAATGAGCTTGCAGCAAAACAACCAGAACAAATCCTGATACTAACACAAACAGACACCCAAAGTCGTCGTCTTCTTCTATGGTCACATCCAGTGTTCGAACTATACCGTGGACTTTGGGGGAGCCCACTTGTTTTTGTTTTTTTTTATAAAGAGGGGGTGGGGGTCGTGTGCTTGCGCGTGCCTCAAAAGAGGGCTTACAATGACTTACAAAGATTCATACCAGCTACAAGTGTATGCACTACTTTATGCAAGCCACTATATAGGGTAAATCACTATACTGGATTTAACCTTTTATACTTTATCGACACGAATTGATAGAAACAACAAACAGCCATCTACAAATAGTCTATAAACAAAGCATCAGGCTGTCTTTGAGTTCACATGAACAACAGTTAAAGTTACTCGTCGTCAGGCTACAGAAGAATACCATAATTCCTCCGTTCAGTTAGGCCTAAGACATCGAGTATTAGAGACATAATTGCGAATAACATGCCTTACCTTAACACAAAATCGACCACAGAGTCCAACGTTTATATTTTTTCTACGAATCTTTGAGTTAACATGTACTAAACATGAGTGGAATTTGCACCGCGGCGCCCCCACACCTTGATGCTCATGACAAGAATAGCATGTATAGTTATCTTTATTGAAGTGAATTAGGTTTAAATCGCCGTCATGCATGAATGAATTATATTTTTGCAATTTTACACATAATAATCCACGATGATCGCATTACACAAAACTGAAATTGCACGTCAAAATAACAATGTCAATATTTTTTGAGACCCCCCAAAATTTCACAAATCCCGTTTTCAGGGGAGCCCATGTCTTATTAAGGGGAGCCGAGCTGCCCCATAGTTCGCACCCTGGTCACATCCCCTCTAACATCCCTGCATTTAACACATTTTACTATGATTACTGCACAGAATTCTGCTGACTTTCCTCCAAAGTTGCAAAAAATAAACTTGATTCTTCATCAATCATTTTCTAGAAAAATCAGTGCGTCTCAAATCTGATCCTCAGGATCTTTTGAGGAGCGTTTGTTTCCAGAAGCTTTACTTTCACTGTTCCTCAGCGGAGGAATGATCTTCACAAGCCTCCAGAACATCTCACATCTTCTGAGGGGCCTTTATTGCTTCAGCTCTTAATCACTGCATTATATGTTTGGAGCATTTCAGTCTCATCTCACTGAGACAGATTATTGGAGATATAGAGACTGATATGTGTCCCTGCAGCACAAAAGCAGTGTTAAGTCGCTGGGGTATATTTGTAGCAATAGCCAACAATACATTGTATGGGTCAAAATTATAGATTTTTCTTTTATGCCAAAAATCATTAGGATATTAAGATCATGTTCCATGAAGATATTTTGTAAATTTCCTACCGTAAATATATCAAACCTTAATTTTTGATTAGTAATATGCATTGCTAAGAACTCCATTTGAACAACTTTAAAGATGATTTTCTCAATATTTAGATTTTTTTGCACCCTCAGATTCTAGATTTTCAAATAGTTGTATCTCAGCCAAATATTGTCCTCTCCTAACAAACCATACATCAATGGAAAGCTTATTTATTCAGCTAGACTCATGTGATCTCAATTTTTAAAAAATTACCCTTATGACTGGGTTTTGTGCTCCAGGGTCACATTTATGGAAACTAAACAGCAAAAAAGGCTCGTTCATGTAATAAAGCTCGAAGTGACTTTGCTGTGATGCAGAAGCTCAACTCACAGCGCCTGCAGGTTGGGGAGGCCTCGAAATGCTCCGTCAGCGATGAAACTGATGCGGTTGTTTCCGATGTGGAGCTGCTCGAGGACGCCGAGTCCGACGAAACTGCTTTCCTCCAAACGGCTCAACTGGTTCCAGCTCAGATCACTGACAGACAACAACAACATTAAGTGAAGCATTCAACAATACAGCACTCAGATTCACTTTAATGAAGCAATAAGCCCCAAGAATCCATGGTTTACAGTGAATTTATAACAGCTATAACAGGTTTTAGTCACTCCGTTTCGCGTCGCGCCTAATAACACCCCTTTGCTGTTATAAATTCACTGTAAACCACAGCTTCACGGAGCTTATTGCTTTTATAAAACATACACGTAGTTAGGTTTCACAAAATAAAACAGAGCAAATAAAGTGTAATGATATTAATAAAAACAGTATTCTTCCACCAAACAATGTAGCTCCTCAGAAACAGTTTAGTCTAAATCTTAAAAATCACTTTAATTCCCAGAAACACATCCATAATGTTCGACCTCTCAAAACACTATTAGCTTCAGTCATTAGACCACTTTAGACAGGAGAACACAACACGTTTTCCTTTTCCTGCCCTGCGCTTAGGCCTGATGGGACAGAGAGGTCAGGAAGAGAGTATCTGTGAGAGTGAAGTAGACTCACAGCTCGGCGAGTTTCTGGCAGAACTCCCAGGCGTCGGGTTTGATGCGGCTGATGGTGTTGTGTGACAGATGCAGCTGCTGCAGCGTCAGGAGGCCATAGAGCCAGCCTTTGCTCACCTCCGTCAGGTTATTGTACTCCAGCTGCCTGCTCACAAACACACACACACACACGCGCACAAACACACACAGACACACAAACACGAACACACACACACACAAACACACACACAAACAGACACACACACACACACACACACACGCGCACAAACACACACAGACACACAAACACGAACACACACACACAAACACACACACAAACAGACACACACACACACACAGACACACACAGACACACACACACACACACAGACACACACAGACAGACACACGCGCGCACAAACACACACAGACACACAAGCACAAACACACACAGACACACACACAGACACACAAGCACAAACACACACAGACACACACACACAGACACACAGACAAACACAGACAGACAAACACAGACAGACACAAACAAACACACACACACAAACAAACAGACACAGACACAAACACACACAAACACAGACACACAGACACACACAAACAAACAAACACACACAGTTTGTCACCAAATTCATCATTCAGTGTTTTTATTTCAGCCTGATGACTGCATTTGACTTAACTTTGACTTAAGTTAAAAATACTAAGAAAGAAAATAATTTTTTGCAGTGCAACAGAATGCTTTGCAAAAAGACACAGAATAAATGTTTGCCTTAATTTTTTTATATTGGATTTTTTATCTTATTGGAATCGTTAAGAATCGATCAAATGAAAACGATACCCAACCCTACGTCACACACGAGGTCTGGGTTAAACCTGAGCTGTACTCACAGGACTTCCATGTTGTTCAGACCCCAGAAAGCGCCGTCCATGAGCCGTGTGACGCCGTTCCTCTGGATCTTCAGCGAGCGCAGGCCGTGAAGCCCCTGAAACGTCAGACCCTCGATGCGCCGCACACGGTTCCTGCTCAGCTCGCTGTCAAACATAAAACAACAGTCAATGATTAGTATGCGTTAGAGCTGCACAATTCATCGTTAAAAGATGAATCACCCACATGATCTCTTTTTTAAATGACAGCGATTCGTCTGTCTTTTAAACCTTTGAAAAAGTCACACCATTCAAACCTGCTTTCGTGCTGCCGCTGACACAGAGAGCAGAGTTACCATGTTTGGGTAAGAAACAGCTTCACAAACAGTCTTTTCAACTACACAGTATTATTTCTGTCTTAGTCATTTATATGTGACCCTGTACCACAAAACCAGTCATAAGGGTACTTTTTTTAAAATTGAGATTCATACATCATCTGAGTCAAGCTGAATAAATAAGCTTTCCATTGATGTATGGTTTGTTAGGAGAGGACAATATTTGGCTGAGATACAACTATTTGAAAATCTGGAATCTGAGGGTGCAAAAAAATCTAAATATTGAGAAAATCATCTTTAAATTTGTACAAATGGAGTTCTTAGCAATGCATATTACTAATCAAACATTAAGCTTTGATGTATTTACGGTATGAAATGTACAAAATATCTTCAAGGAACACGATCTTTACTTAATATCCTAATGATTTTTGGCATAAAAGAGAAATGTATAATTGTGACCCATACAATGTATTGTTGGCTATTGCTACAAATATCCCCCAGCGACTCAACACTGCTTTTGTGCTGCAGGGTCACAAATTATCACAGAAATACTGGAATGAAAGTTTATAGTTCAGATATAAATGTTGATGTCTATAGTATCAAAATAGAGCAAATCTGTTGATTACATTGTTTTGCCACTAGGTGGCGAAAAGTGACTGTTTAAAAAATGCATTTGTCATTGAATCATTCAAGAAATTCTCAAAAACGCAGATTCATTCAGTAATAAAACAAGTGAAGTATTTATGAGTGAGTCATTGAATCATTCATTCAAACCACTTTTTCATCATTTTAATATTAAAAATTAGTGTATTAAACACATAATATTAAAATGTTTTAGTAATTCATTCAAATTAATTAAACACTTTTAAATAGACTGAAAAACTAATATTTTGTTTAGTTCAGAATCGTGGGACAATCGTGATCTCTAATTGAGAAAATCTAAATCGTGATTCTCAATTTATCCAGAATCGTGCAGCTCTAGTATCGCGTGAGACGGATGTGAGCGCGACACTTACAGGTGCTGCAGGTGCGGTAGAGGAAAGATCTTGGGCGGGATGGAGCTCAGGCGGTTTTTGTTGAGTTTTAACACCAGCAGCGAGCTGGACAGGTTACTGAAGCAGCCGTGCTCCAGCGTGGAAATACGGTTATTATTCATCAACCTACAGAAACACAGCATTCAAACACAGATGCATGACATACTGAAACGTCTGCTTGACATTCACAGAAGCCGTAATCACTGATAGATCTGGCAATAAACAATAAACTCAATAAGCAATAAACAATAAACTACTTCTACTGAATCAAACAAGAGATTAAGCTAGACTAAAAAAAAAAACGAGTCTAAAATTAGCTTAAACTAGTACAAAAGGCTGTGAATTCATCTTAAAGATTCACAAACAAACTTAAAAGTTTAAAAACAAGCTAATCTAAAATGAGCTTAAACTAGTCTAAAGAAGCATAAACTAATCTTTTAAAAAGTTCAATCTAATAGTGAAGCTTAAAAAGCTTAAACTAGTTCAACAGAGCTTAAATATACAAAAAAGTTTATTAACAAATTAATTTAAAAGAGCTTAAACTTGTCAAAAAGAACAAACGAGTCAAAAACAGCTTAAACTAGTCTAAAATTTATTTAAAATAGTCTAAAAGAGCTTAAAATAGTCTAATGCAGCATAAACTAGTCTAACGGAGCATAAACTAGACTAATGGAGCATAAACTAGTCTAAAAGAACTTAAACTAGTCTGAAAGAGCTTAAACTAGTCTGAAAGAGCCTGAAAGAGCTTAAACTAGCATAAACTAGTCTAAAAGAACTTAAACTAGTCTGAAAGAGCTTAAACTAGTCTGAAAGAGCTTAAACTAGACTAATGGAGCATAAACTAGTCAAACAGGGCATAGACTTGTTTAAAATTAGCTTAAACTAGTCTAAAAGAGCTTAAACTAGTCTTTAAAAAGCTTAAACTAGTTCAACAGAGCTTAAATATACAAAAAAGTTTATTAACAAATTAATTTAAAAGAGCTTAAACTTGTCAAAAAGAACAAACTAGTCAAAAACAGCTTAAACTAGTCTAAAATTTATTTAAAATAGTCTAAAAGAGTTTAAAATAGTCAAAAAAGGGCATAGGCTAGTCTAAAATTAGCTTAAAATAGTCTAATGCAGCATAAACTAGTCTAACGGAGCATAAACTAGACTAATGGAGCATAAACTAGTCAAACAGGGCATAGACTAGTCTCAAATTAGCTTAAACTAGTCTAAAAGATCTTAAACTAGTCTAAAAGAGCACAAACTAATCTAAAATTATCTTAAACTAGTCTAACTGATCATAAACTAGTGTAACGGTGCATAAACTAGTCTGAAAGAGCTTAAACTAGTCAAACAGGGCATAGACTTGTTTAAAATTAGCTTAAACTAGTCTAAAAGAGCTTAAACTAGTCTTTAAAAAGCTTAAACTAGTTCAACAGAGCTTAAATATACAAAAAAGTTTATTAACAAATTAATTTAAAAGAGCTTAAACTTGTCAAAAAGAACAAACTAGTCAAAAACAGCTTAAACTAGTCTAAAATTTATTTAAAATAGTCTAAAAGAGCTTAAAATAGTCTAATGCAGCATAAACTAGTCTAACGGAGCATAAACTAGACTAATGGAGCATAAACTAGTCTAAAAGAACTTAAACTAGTCTGAAAGAGCTTAAACTAGTCTGAAAGAGCCTGAAAGAGCTTAAACTAGTCTGAAAGAGCTTAAACTAGACTAATGGAGCATAAACTAGTCAAACAGGGCATAGACTAGTCTCAAATTATCTTAAACTAGTCTAAAAGAGCTTAAACTAGTCTAAAAGAGCACAAACTAATCTAAAATTATCTTAAACTAGTCTAACTGATCATAAACTAGTGTAACGGTGCATAAACTAGTCTGAAAGAGCTTAAACTCGACTAATGGAGCATAAACTAGTCAAACAGGGCATAGACTAGTCTCAAATTAGCTTAAACTAGTCTAACAGAGCTTAAACTAGTCTAATGGAGCATAAACTAGTCTAACGGAGCATAAACTAGTCTAATGGAGCATAAACTAGTCAAACAGGGCATAGACTAGTCTAAAATTAGCTTAAACTAGTCTAAAAGATCTTAAACTAGTCTAAAAGAGCACAAACTAATCTAAAATTATCTTAAACTAGTCTAACCGATCATAAACTAGTGTAACGGTGCATAAACTAGTCAAACAGGGCATAGACTAGTCTCAAATTAGCTTAAATTAGTCTAACGGAGCATAAACTAGTCTGAAAGAGCTTAAACTACTCTGAAAGAGCTTAAACTAGTCAAACAGGGCATAGACTAGTCTAAAATTAGCTTAAACTAGTCTAAAAGAGCTTAAACTAGTCTAAAAGAGCACAAATTAATCTAAAATGACCTTAAACTAGTCTAACGGAGCATAAACTAGTCTAAAAGAGCTTAAACTAGTCAAACAGGGCATAGACTAGTCTAAAATTAGCTTAAACTAGTCTAAAAGAGCTTAAACTAGTCTAAAAGAGCACAAATTAATCTAAAATGACCTTAAACTAGTCTAACGGAGCATAAACTAGTCTAAAAGAGCTTAAACTAGTCTAAAAGAGCACAAATTAATCTAAAATGACCTTAAACTAGTCTAACGGAGCATAAACTAGTCTAAAAGAGCTTAAACTAGTCTAAAAGAGCACAAACTAATCTAAAATTATCTTAAACTAGTCTAACCGATCATAAACTAGTGTAACGGTGCATAAACTAGTCTGAAAGAGCTTAAACTAGACTAATGGAGCATAAACTAGTCAAACAGGGCATAGACTAGTCTCAAATTAGTCTAACGGAGCATAAACTAGTCTGTAAGAGCTTAAACTAGTCTGAAAGAGCTTAAACTAGTCAAACAGGGCATAGACTAGTCTCAAATTAGTCTAACGGAGCATAAACTAGTCTGTAAGAGCTTAAACTAGTCTGAAAGAGCTTAAACTAGTCAAACAGGGCATAGACTAGTCTCAAATTAGTCTAACGGAGCATAAACTAGTCTGTAAGAGCTTAAACTAGTCTGAAAGAGCTTAAACTAGTCAAACAGGGCATAGACTAGTCTAAAATTAGCTTAAACTAGTCTAAAAGATCTTAAACTAGTCTAAAAGAGCACAAACTAATCTAAAATTATCTTAAACTAGTCTAACCGATCATAAACTAGTCTAACCGATCATAAACTAGTCTAAAAGAGCTTAAACTAGTGTGAAAGCTCACTGTGAGCACTGAGGAGAGCCACAGTGAGCTGATGCGAGACTCCTGGCGGTTTCTGGAAAGCAGGTCAGTTGAGAACAGAAGAAGGACTCACAGGTTTTTCAGAGGAAGAGGAGGAAAAGCCCCGGCGCGAACCTCCATAATATTGTTGTTGCTAAGGTCCAGCGTCTCCAGGGCGACCAGCGAACTGAGCTGCTCTGCAGAGATCCTCGAGATCCTGTTGTTTGCTCTGAAAACACAAGCAGAGGCATTTCAGAAAGCAGATTTCAGCGCACAGGCGAAGAGCGTCGCTGCACGCCTCACAACAGCTCAAAACAGCCGTTGGGTTCAGAAGTGTGTTATTTGGTTTATAAGGTAATTACTAACAAGGTATTTAAACAAAAAATACCCCTGTCAATTACACAGATGATGAAGCCCATTCCCTCAGTGAAAGCGCCGCTGACGAGCCCAGCAATTTCCCGAGCTGCACGCCTCCCAAATTGCAGTGCAGGAGCTGCTTGTGTTAGAAACACAGAGCCGCCTTTGTGTGTCGGACGCGCTGAAAACATTCCCTGGAATTGCAGGTCTAAACCTTCAGACAGTCACACACACTCGGTTTCAGTTTATACGGCTGAAATTGAGCGTAACTCAACATAAACACGGGACTGACGTCATAAGAGAGGACAAATGACGATACGGCACATACATGTGATATAAAACGCTCAAGAAGAAGCTTCATTAATTATTCATTAAAGTACTTTTTCAAGATACAGTAACTTACAAATATATATGTACATACATATATATACATACACACACACATACATATATATACAGTGGGTACGGAAAGTATTCAGACCCCCTTAAATTTTTCACTCTTTGTTATATTGCAGCCATTTGCTAAAATCATTTAAGTTAATTTTTTTTTCCTCATTAATGTACACACAGCACCCCATATTGACAGAAAAACACAGAATTGTTGACATTTTTGCAGATTTATTAAAAAAGAAAAACTGAAATATCACATGGTCCTAAGTATTCAGACCCTTTGCTCAGTATTTAGTAGAAGAACCCTTTTGATCTAATACAGCCATGAGTCTTTTTGGGAAAGAGGCAACAAGTTTTTCACACCTGCAACATTTATTGAGATGCACCTGTATACATATATATATAAACAAAGAGCTTAAACTAGTCTAAAGGACCATAAACTAGTCTAAAGGAGCTTGAACTACAGTCTAAAATGACCTAAATCTAGCCTAAAGGAGCTTAAACTAGTCTAAAGGACCATGAACTAGTCTGAAATTAGTTTAAACTAGTCTAATGGAGCATAAACTTGTGTAAAAGAACTTAAACTTGTCTAACGGAGCATAAACTAGTCTAACAGAGCATAAACTAATGTAAAATGAGCTTAAACTAGACTAATGGCGCATAAACTAGTCTAAAAGAGCTTAAACTACTCTGAAAACTTGAATAGAAGCAACATGAAGACTGTATATTTTAAATAATTTTTTTAATGCCATCTTTTAATTATTTGATTATTCACTACATTTTATAATTTTTTAATAAAATTAATTTAATTATAAAATTAGTAAATATAGCCATGCAACATTACAGTAAAATTTGTGCTAATAATTTTTAATAGGCCTAAGCTGTTACAAAATATATTATATGTTATTATAAATTATAATTCTTAATATATTATTAATATATTATAAGCTTTAATTTAACTAAACTTAATTTTTACATGAACACACACACATATATATATTTCTGCCTTGACCTGAAGATGAGAAACATATATACAGTATATATATATATGTGTGTGTGTGTGTGTGTGTGTGTGTTTCTCATCTTCAGCTCAAGGCAGAAATCTGAACCTCTAATATTCCTCGTTCTCGTTTATGAAAAGCCCATGGTGAAAACAAACACCTTTCAAAAAAATCAAGGCATTAAATGGTTGTGTTGAGCGGCACACAGAGGCATGATGGGAAGTTTGTGCTTTTGTGAAGTGAAGGAGGAATGAGTCAAAGGTGTTGAGAGAGCGAGACAGATAAGACGCGGGACGTGCCGGAGCAGATCCTCTGGAGAGACAGACGTGTGAATGCAGCATCCGACGCAAAACAAGGAAGTCGAGCAGCTCATTTATGAACAATCAGAGTCTCTGACCATAAAAACTTTTTTTTTTTAATTTAAAAAAATTTAGGGTTGTCCCTCAGATTGAAAAAACAAGCAACAAAGACGTGTTTGCATGAGGTCTCAATTCTAGTTCCTGTTTATTACCTCAGCGTAATTCCTCATGAACAGCCATAAAATAACCAGACACACACTCTCTGTGTGTCTTCAACATCTGCTGAGAGTGTGAGTGTGTGTGTGTGTGTGTGTGTGTGAGTGTGTGTGTGTTTGTGTGTGTGTTTTATCTCTCCCTCCTCCTTTGTTCAGACAAACAAGCAGCTCATTGTGTCTTTCTGCCGCACACCTCAAATTTGTTCAACCAATATTCGGCAAATAAGGTTGTTACACTCTGTTGGTTTAATCAGAGTCTAAAGGGAATAGGGTATTTTTAGCGCCGCAAGCTCAACGATAAACACGCGTGAGCGTTATATATATGACACGTTATATAAAAAATGCTCACGGTGAGATTATTTCCACATAAAGCAGATTGTAAAAGCAACGAATGTTTGGCACGTCACTGCATTATGAGAGTTACTAGACGCAGACATTTTCCATACCGCCAGTGTGTGTGTGTGTGTCTGTGTGTGTGTGTGTGTGTGCGCATGTGTGTTTCTGGCAGATGAGACTAAAGGGAAAGAAGTGAAGTTGGCTCGTTATGAGAGTTACTAGACGCAGACATTTTCCATACCGCCAGTGTGTGTGTGTGTGTCTGTGTGTGTGTGTGTGTGTGTGTGTGTGCGCGCATGTGTGTTTCTGGCAGATGAGACTAAAGGGAAAGAAGTGAAGTTGGCTCTGAGATGAGCAGAGAAGGTCTGAAACACATTAACTTCAACTCAATTTCAACATATTTTCCTCATGCTGTAAAGATCCTGCTGCAGATCGTTAATGAGCGAACCAACCAAATCATTTCACATCAGCACTTAATACAGCTGCAAATTCAATGGAAAATGTTTGGATTTTCAATAACCGTGTGCTCATGACTATTTTCAGATAATCAAATCAATTAAGTATTTTACAATTATTAAATTTACATTTATAAAAGCAGAATCACTGAATCCAGCCATAAAAATAGAATTTACAGCATAACAATGAATGTTATGGAATTTGGCAAGTAGGGCCGTGCAATTAATCAAATCGTGGTATAAAACATTTCAAAGGGCCCTATAATCTTTCAATTAAAATGGAAAATGCAAAATACGGGTGAGAAAATAAAACAAGCACTAAAAATGTAATTTGTTATACTTATATATTTTTTATTGTATTATTGTATTTATTATTTATTGTATAAGTTAGACATGCTTTTTGAGTGCTAAAATTAATTTTAACCATTAAAATGGAATCCAGAAAAATGTTTATGGAAAAAAATTAAATGGAAATCCAGAGGAATGAAAACGGAATTTGGGAAGAAGAAAAAAAAAACAGATTTCATAGAATGCTTTTATCCAAAGAGATGCTTCTCATTTTCTCTTTTTGTTTGGATCTAGATTAATATAAACCAACAAACTCATAACGAATGAATTAGTCTTACATTTAATATCACACTAGAGCTAAAAACAGTAAAACTAACAAGCATATCTGACTCTAATATGATTGGACGAGCGACACTGAAGTCACCATCTCTACTTGTTTGGGATGTGTTATCATGCATATTTTTGTTGTTCTCAAGTGTAAATAAAACAGTACTACCTGCTGATAAACATTTAAATATCAACCATATAGAGGGATCTTATCGTTTGCGATATACCGGTAAAAATTCTCCCCACGATAAGAATTAGTCTTCCTGCGATAATAACGATAAAGTCTAGTTGTTGACATATTTCTGTGTGCGACATCGCGGAAGGCGGACGTGAAATTGAGAAGGAGTTTATCGCTAAATGAGGAGCTCCTTCTACAATCTGGAACTGGTTTGGTTAGGGCTGTACAGTGCACAAAATAATCTGTCTGAATAAGTGTAGTACAGTAGCACGTGTGCGATACAGTTTGCATGTGTATGAGCCTGTTTACAAACCAACAAAGATATAATTTATTGACAAGCTTTTTCTCCAAAATAACATAGTCGAGTGTTTGAAATAACTTCTTTTTGTGACCAGATGTGGTTTCATATTACAGAATGATAGTATTATATACAGTGATAAAGGCTATGTCGATTAGCATTGCATTATAAATATACTTTCCTTATAAAAAATACCCAAGATTGCTTGAAGAACACAGATAAACCATATATGTTGTGCAATCGTATGTTTCAAGTTTCATCAGTTAAAATTTCTCTATCTCCGTTGCGTGTTTTATTCAGCAATAACTGGATGCCTTTGTCCATATTAGTGATTTTATGGAGCGTGGTCAGTGATATTACTTCTGCGATGCATATGTGGAGTTTCTGCGCGAGGGCGCCCTCTAGCTTCCAGTATATGAATTAAACAGTCATTACATTACGTGTGTACTCAGTAACGCTCACAACACCCAATTTTGGGTAAAAATAGGAAAGACAATACTTATCTCTAAAGAAACAGGATTCAATGAATTATCGTCTTTGATATCATTATCACACTAAATACCAGAAATATCATATTTTTATGCCCATATCGCCCATCCCTACTACCACAGTATAAATGCAGTTGACACAGTTCTACTGTTGCATACGAGAGCGAGAGCGAGAGTGAGAGCGAGAGAGAGAGAGAGAGAGAGAGCGAGCTGTACGGGGGTCTGGGGTATCGTATAGCTCCTGCCTCTTATTCAAACAGTCTCTCAGACTGAGCGTCTCTCGTCTTTGACCCTTCAGCCCACCAAAAACAAACGGCATCAGCTCCACAGCTGGGAGTAATTCACTTGCCATCACCTCAATTAATTCAGCCATTTCACAGGAATTTGTGGCCTTGAACAATTTAAGAGCCATATGAAGCCACTGCTAAAGAGTAATTAGCTGGAAAATTTGCCCGGCGGATTGAAGGACTGAACTTTGATAATGCCTGTGTTACACCGTTTGCTGCATGTCCTGAAATACTGCATCATTTTTCAATCAGCAAGCAACCCCCCAGAACACCCTAGCAACCGCATAGCAACCTAGAAACCAATGAGAACACTCTAGCAACTGCAGAGCAACACCCTGACAACCACTCATCCATTTATCCATCTATGTAGCCAACTAACCAAACAACCAACTATATATGCAACTATACATATATTGAACCGTCTATTCAACTATCCAAACATCTATCAATTATCTATCTATTAGGGGTGTAACGATACACGTATTTGTATTGAACAGTACGGTACAAGGATTTCGGTTCGGTACGCATTACAGACCGAACGCTTCGATTCGTTGGACTAATCCCATTACATTTGGAAAATAAAACAGCTGGGCTGCGTCGAAAGACGATGATCTTGTGTCGACGATAGCCAGAGATATTGTCAAAAACATAAATTGTTGCCAATATTAAGATATTTGGCATTTCCAATTAATGTAGGCCTGTTACATTCTTATTTTTATTAGGCCTATTATTATTATTATGAAGTAAATTTTATTATTAAATTAAAACTACAATTAATTTGCCCCACAATAATTACCAAATAACTGACGTGCTGCGAGCATAACAAAATATTAGGCTATTTACTCCTCAACTAAAATAAAAAAAAATAAAAATTTTAAAACAGTGCTATTATACAATGATTTATAGGCCTACAATTAAAATATTAACACTGCAGTAATCAATAAAAATTCAAATTTTTTTCACCATGTAATATTAGAAATATTAAAGGAATAAATTTAAACAGTTAGCTATATACTTTTAGCGATCTATCTATCTATCCATTCATCTATATTTATCCATCCATCCGTCTGTCCGTCCGTCTATTTATCTATCTACCTATCTATCTATTTATCTATCTGCCTGTCTGTCTATTTATCTATCTGTCTGTCTGTCTGTCTATTTATCTATCTTTCTGTCTGTCTGTCTGTCTATTTATCTATCTGTCTGTCTGTCTGTCTGTCTATCTATCTGTCTGTCTGGCCGGCTCTCTGTCTATCTATCTATCTGTCTGTCTGTCTGTCTGTCTATCTATCTTTCTGTTTATCTGTCTATCTATCTGTCTGTCTATCTGTCTGTCTGTCTATCTATCTATCTATTTTTCTGTTTATCTGTCTGTCTGTCTATCTATCTATCTATCTATCTGTCTATCTATCTATCTTTCTGTTTATCTGTCTATCTATCTATCTATCTGTCTGTCTGTCTGTCAGGCTTGCCGCGATAGACGGTGCTGACGGTGATACCGTTGTTAAGCCTCAACACTGGTTACGTCACTTGCCCACCGACCCCCACCATCGTTTTTTTTTTTATAGTAATAAAAATCATTTAGTTCAGTAAAAGAACAGACTTTGTGTCATTTATTTATTTTAATTGTTAAGCCTCAACACTGGTTACGTCACTTGCCCACCGACCCCCACCATCGTTTTTTTTTTATAGTAATAAAAATCATTTAGTTCAGTAAAAGAACAGACTTTGTGTCATTTATTTATTTTATTTGACATCAAGGTGTATGCCGTGCCTCCAAGCTTTCTTACTCGTTTTGCTAATAAACGTTCTACGTTTCTTATTTATTTGGTTATATTTTATACATGCTTACTAATTTCCAGTTTTGTATAGCCTACCTATTTAAACTTTATGCAAGTTATTTGTTATTTTATATGAGGCATAGCCTGCCCTATAGCATGGTGTATTTTTATTCGTTTTGTTAATAAAAGTTCTATGTTTTATATATAGGCTAAAGTGAGTTTGACGTTGTATTTTGTTGTTGCATTCAAGCAATTGACACCGAATTGCCGCTAATTCGAAAGTGAAAGTAAAATGCGCACAGCGCTTTTAAGCTATTTAAAAGCGAAGGAAAGCGAGGAAAAGAGGGAACGCCCCCGCGGTGATACTGGTATTATCGGTGTTGTCACACGCCGATTAACTGGTGGGAAAATTTCCTCACCGTCACAACCTTACTATCTATTCAACTACTCATCTATCCATCCATCGATCCATCTATCTGTCTATCCGTCTATCAATCTTGAGTCTTGACCCTCAAACTTTAAACTATTTTACATTTTCAGACCAGATTTTGACAAGCCAGCAATAAAACTGGTCCAATGTCATTCTGAACACGAGACTCAACAAAAACTAAAGCGCTCTGGATGTTAAAAGAGTCTCGTAGTTTGTGAGCGGCGCTACGGTCGGACGTATCTGGATGGTGTTGTATTTAACACAGAGCGCTCAAACTCAGATAACACTACACACAGGCGCCGTCACAGACAACAGACCAACCAAACGCTGCCAAACTGTGCTCGGAGTCCAAGAGGAAATACCACACACACACACACACTCACACACACACACACACTCACACACA